ATCCCAGTCCTGACGACACCTCACCTGCTTTAGGCGTTTAATTTCATGCTCCATTTCCACTTCTCTTGCCTTTGCATTGAATTCACTCAAGCTAGAGGAAGAGCTTCTCCCGCGACCAGGCCGCTCACACTCAAGTTTGTACAACTGCAGGTGCTCCAACTCCTTTCGCAGATCTTCAATAAGCTGCACAAAGCCCAGGAAAAGAAATCAGGTCAAAGGGACGTTCCTTATCACTTGCCCTCCCCCACCAGCTCTCCTGGCTATTGCCTCTGTTCCTGGCAAGAGAATGGGGTGACAGTAGGAGAGGGGACGGGCAGCAGTGGAGGATTCATGCATAAAACTTATCTTCCCTTGTGAAGATTAACTGGAACAGTATGCCAGGGAGGAGGGAAATGTAGTTCTCAGAGCTGCTAGCTATCAGTGGATGTTTAGAGCTTGAATGAGAGGCCTCCACATCCAGATGGCCTCCCTGCTGCTAATTCTCCTTGGCAAAGTAAGTTGGCAAGGAGGAACTGGTGACTGAGACACTTAATGAGGCTGAACTAAACTCTCCCCTCCTCAAAGTATCCAGAGTTCAGAAAACTTTGCACTCAATTCAGAAAGAGCTCAGATGGAACCTTTGAGAAGTCTGACCCCCTCATTGTGAGATTCTGGGCCAACACTCATTGCTGTTACTGGTCTTCTTGTTGAAATCCCCCATATAACTCCTTCCCCCTGATTTTTAGGAGCATAGTTTGAAAGCTACTGCTTTAGTACTTTAGTAATACAAAGTCAACTGCAGCTGATGTGCCTAATAACCTTTGAAAAAAAGTTTTAAAACCCTATGGTAATACCCTTTTGGAACAGGAGTTAATTTTGGGCTTTTAACTTGAGAATTTTCTTTTATTACTATGCAAAGTATTAATTTAATAGGAAAACAAAAACAGGCAGCCTGTGTCGCAAACATTATTACCCACCTCCTGAGTTGCCTCCCTCTCCTTATTAAATTCCAGTCTGTTCCTTCTGAGCTTGTCCATCATTCTTTTATACAAATCCATCTCGTCTTTGAGTCGCAAACTGGTGTCTTCTAATCTGTCAGACATTCGCTGCTTTTCCTGAGCACAGTGAAAAGAGTATTACAAGTTGCCTTCAATTTCCAGTCAATGTATATGACCCTGCCCTCCTGGAATGGTTTTGCTTCATAGGTGCATGTTGGAAAACTGGCATATCTGAGTGCTCTCCCAGAATTAAAAAACAAAACAAAGCAGCTCTTTGCACAGAGAAAACTAGTATGTCCTGGAAAATGCTGGCCTAGAGTCCTCCTCATGGGCATGCTACTTACCCTTGATCATGAAAAGTTTCTGGCGGAGTGAGCACTGGAACATGCCATTCCATCATGAAGTAGAAAGTAAACGATAAGTATGACTGTCTCTCCTGCAACTTGCATAGAGACAAAATGTCCCTACCAAGCAACTGCTCATCTTGAGGACCCTGTGAGAGTCAGTGGTGCTGAACTAATGTGCCCTGCTTGCAGCCCAAACCAGGATATGCTTGCTTGTGAAAGAGAGTCTGTTCATCCCAATAACTCCTGCATAAGCAACAGTACCCTTATCATCTTCAGGATAGGTTTGAAGTCACCTCAGTATCAAACAAGTAGGGTAATCTGCCCACGGGGGAACACCTAAGAAGATGTGGAGTTTTGCATCAGAAAAAGCACGGAGCAAGCCCTGACCTGGATAGCCCCTGGGTGGATGGGAGACCTCCTTGAAATACCAGAGATGGGAGGTGGGAGCAGACTTTATTCAGCCAATACAAAACAAAACAAAAAAGCATGGAGCCTGATCTTACGTATATTTACTTGACCACAAGTTCAGAAGAATTCATTGAAAATTGCTTTCAAGGGGAGACTTGGGTTACTCAAGCCCTGTGCAGAAGGTTGAAGTATTTGCGACTTAACCAATCTTCTGTGCCCCCAGAGGCAGTGTTTGAAGAAACAGAACACTGGTCACCTGTGATTAGGGTTCCCATCTGCCCGGTGGGGGCAAGGGATCCCCTGATTTTGTGGGCTCCTGCCCACTGCCAGGCATGCCAGCAGGAGGGCACCTCCCCCCCCAAAAAAGCAACTTCACACACAACATGCCTGTGTCACCTGTAGGTGATGTCAGTGACATCGAGGGGTGATGCTCTGGCTAGGGGTGAAACTATGGTTTGATGCCAATTTTACCATAGAGTTTTGCCCAAAAGCCAGAGCATCGCCCCCAACATCGCTGTGCCTATGTCACTTCTGTGCGACAGGCATGTCATGTCCAATGTCACTGTTTTGGGGGGAATGTGGGTGTGACATCACTTCCCACTCCCAGAACGTCCCCCCATCCCCCTCCCAGCAGGTGAAAGGGATCCATCAACCCTACCTGTGATCCATGTTCTCAGGATTCCAGTTCATGCACTAACTGCAGAGAGGCCAAGCAAACTAGCAGGAGAGGCACAGGTACCACTGGGCAAAGACAGCAACAGTTGTTCTAAGCCCAGTATTACTCCCTCCAGGCATTACCTATTGTGCTTCTTGCTCTTAGGATTGTCAGCTGCCTGGAGAAAACAACTGTCCTGTCCCTTTAATACAGCCTTAAGAGGATGTTATTTATCTCCAAGCCTTGGAAAGCTTTAGCTGCCCATTCCCACACATTCAGCCTCTGTAGGCATTTTTTCCTTGAGGACATTCTCCATGGACAGGATGTTTTTCTCCGGGCCCTATTAGCAATTCTACTTGCTCTCTCCTACTATTGCGGTTCAGAGCTTCAAACCCATTTCCTGACTGTGACAACATTCCTATGCCTTTGTTTCAAAGAGAAACAGTCCATTTACTTAAGAGACAGGCTTGTAAAGCCTCATGATTAAAAGCAGTACATTGATTACTACATAAAGATAGCCCATGTGTGTCAATTACAGTCTTCCTTGGGGGCAAAGAACCTCCAAGCTTCTCACTCTCGTTCGCTGACTATGACAACGCACCCATGAGAATATTCTTTCAAAGCACAGAATATGTGAGTACTGTTTAAAGAGCTGCCCTTTCCCTTTGGGATTTTGTTTTCCAGGGTGGCGGTGGCGGCTCTATCCTTCCTTTTTCTTCAACCACATAACCAGAGCCCAAGTAACAGCTTATTTACACAAACACACACAGAGACAATTCTATATCAAATCAAGTCTGAGCTCTCCCTAGAAGCTAAAATGACTAAACTGAGACTATTGCACTTTGGACACATTATGAGAAGACAGGAGCCACTAGAAAAGACAAGAACACTAGGAAAAGTTTAAGGTAGCAGGAAAAGAGCAAGGCCCAATATCAGATGGATGGACTCAATCAAGGAAGCCGTGGCCCTCAGTTCGCAAGACCTGAGCATAACTGTTTATGACAGGTTTTGGAGGTCATTAGTTCATAGGGTCACCATAAGTTGGAAGTGACTTGACAGTACTCTCTCTCTCTCTCTCACGCAGACACACACACACATACACAAAACTCAAGACAGTGTGCTTTAAGAGCTCTTACTTTCCCAGCCTTTAAAAGCCTCCTAGGTCCAATAAATGGCATTGTGTCCCTTTTTCTCTGCTTCCTACCGCGTGGAATGAATGCAGCCAAATGTAACACAGCAATTCTCATATTGTACATACATTTCTTATGCCTGCATTTTGATCACAATCATGCTGAGCCATAACGGAAGGTCTGAAGTGATCTTTAAAACCAGTCAAACTCATCTGAACTGAGCAGGGCCCTCTGAAATCAATGTAGGAAGAAAAGTGACACAAGACAAGGGGTTCTTGTTACCTCATCTAGCTTCTCAGTTTGCGATTTCAGTCGTAAGATTGTAGTTGTGAGCTCACAATTTTCTTCTTCAAGCTGTTCAACCCTGAAATTGAAGGAGAACAGTGAAGTGATTGGACAGTAACAGCTACACTTGGTACAGGCATTAAAGGCAAACTAAGCACCATCTAAAGAGGGAAGAATTTTTTCAAAAAAACCATTCAATACATAGAACCAGGGTAGGGGGTTTAAAAAATTTCTTCCTCACTCCAGTAGAAAACAGCAAGAGTCCCATAGCCCGTTAAAGACTAACAAAATTTGTGGCAGGGTATCAGTTTTTGTGAGTCACTGCTCACTTCTTCAGATACAGCTGAGGTTTTTTTGTTAGTCTTTAAGATGCTACTGGACTCTTGCTCTTTTGTACTGCTACAGACAAACACTGCTACTCATCTTGATCTATTTCCTTGTTCCAATGAAGGCAGCAAGACCCTCAGGATCTAATTCTTATTATGGGTGTACTGAAACTGTTTGTGACCCAGAGCCACTTTGCATTATAATGGCCCTTAGCTGTGAACAATTTAGTGCTGTATTACTTTAAGACAAGAGCTCAAACGTCTCTGTCAATCACTTGTTAGAACTGGTGCCTTAACCAGGGCTATATATAACAATGTAATGTAGTGATTAGTGTCAGACTAGGCTCAAATCCCTACTAAGCATAGCTTTTCTTGGCAAAGAATCTGGGTGTAGATATTTTTTAAAAACACAGAATTCATTTCGTTTAGGCCACAATACCAACTGTGACAGGCTCACTTCTATACTTACATCTTCACACATTCACATGGTTGCACCTATGTAAACAATATGTTGCATCCAATGATCCATGGATGCAAGTATCACAAATCATCTCCCCCCCCCCCAGCAGTTTGTTTTTGAAGTCATGGGATCCAGGTGGAATAGCAGCCACATAGACTGGGAGGCTGCAGTGGAGAGTGGGATACGTAGTGTGATAATGACAGCCATTTATGGAGCTCTGGCAGAAATCAATGCCAATTCTGTATCTGTATCATAATAATGAGGGACCACATGATACCTTTCTGTACATAATTGTGGGCACATGCACGTAATGTAGGCCTTAACTACTTCCAGTATAGCAATTTTTAAAAATCTGTAGCAACTTTAATAGCAACATGGTGGCTGAAGAAAGCCAGTATCTGTATAAACAGTACCTTGTGTTGAGCAGCTCAATTTCAGTGCTCTTCTCCTTTTCATATTTGCTGTATGCTTCTCTGTGCCTCTTTAGCTCTTCTTCCAGAGTCTGTTCAGCTGATGCCTCCTGGTCTTTCAACAGTTCTTCTAATTCATGAACTCTAGTAAAGTGATTTCATGTTTACTCAACAGCTCAACATATCTGCTTGCAAGTTACATACTTCAGTGTTCCATTCCTTTTAACATCTACTGGATATGGCAACTGCCAATCAAAAGGCAATTAGAGTGACTTGTTTCTTGATTATATGGCCTGTGAACTGCCACCTCCATTTGCTGACATCTCAAAAAACACTGTTTATTGTAATTTCTGTAGTTAGTAACAGATCCTTGTGCCTTGTTTATATGATTAAAAACACACACACAACATGATCAAGAAAGGAAGCAGAACTGGATTCCATGGCACACAAGGTAATTTGCTCCTCACCAAGTCCTCTGCATACAATTTGAAGGTGTGGTCACATGATGACTCCACCCAGTTCCATAAAGATAAAGGGGATTTTTAAAAACAAAACAAAACTGTAATATATGATACAGATTGAATTTCTTAAAAGACTGCTCATAAAAATAGTGGGTCCAGGTGGACTCCATTCCCACTTAACAGCTCTCTTGACCATTTAACATAACCTGACTAATGTTGGTTCTGCTTTTGCTTAAGCCCCATCTAGTGAGCTTTGAAGATCAGGCTATTAACA